TCACACAGTCACACACTCACACAGTCACTCAGTCACACACTCACACATTCACACAGTCACACACTCACACATTCACACAGTCACACAGTCACACAGTCTCACAGTCACACACTCACACAGTCTCACAGTCACACAGCCACACACTCACACAGTCACACAGCCACACAGAGCCCCAGCAACGTGTCAGTGCGTGGCTTTCACTTGACCTATGGGGGGTGGGAGGATGAGAAGTCCGCTGCTTGACATTGAAACTGAAGGCCGTTCAGTAGGCGGGACTGAACTAAACTGAACACCTCCACTTCACGTGAAACGTAACGTTAGTGGTGCTTGCCAGGCGAAAAACCTGAACCCGACACTGTTCCATTTTGTTGATTTTGGTGTCATAGTTCTGCTCCACACTGTACTTGCCATACGCCCTGTGCCCCAGAAATGCACTGCAGTCAGAAAATTAGTAATGTATAAAAACAACTTTTTAAAAAAAACACGCTTTTTAGAAATGTACTAGTAATGGCAGAACTCCACAACTCCAGCAAGTGGCCCCGAAGCTTGCCACAACGTAAGGGACCGTGGCCAATTACAGCCAACGTCAGTTGAGCGTGGACAATTAGAGCCAAGCCGAAACATAACATGTAAAAAAGAATGTTTAAAAATATATATTAATTATTTTATGATAGAATATAGTATTGTCATCAGTATGACACAAGTATACCAAGTTTGCAGTCGATACCACATTGGGAAGTGGGTTAAAACTGAGTTACAAGATTTGAGGATACGACAACAACAACAGACAAGAGTGAGTTAATAGAAAGCGTGTAATAAAAACAAGAGAGTTGCCGATTGGGGGGGGTGGTTGGGGGGGGCTTGCGGGGTTATGGGGGGGGGCTTGGGGGGGCTGCATTGGCCCCTAGGCATGTGGCCCCCTTATTTGACCTCTCTAGAACACACCTTCCCACAATGCATTGTGCCAGCTATAAGTCGCTATACGCAGATTCGTACAGCTCCACAGAGATCCATGACAAGCTATGTATCGCACTCGTTGCACACAACGTGCTTGTCACAGGTGGACCAACAGTACCTCATATTCTTAGGTTGTTTCGGTAAAGTCACGTAGGTAAAAATTTTTAATTAATAACAGTAAAATTAAAATAAAATAAAAATCACGACGTTTCGGAAGCAACACAAGCTTCCGTCTTCAGGTAGAACCGTCACAGCACGATAGCTGTATCAAGTAAATGAGAGATTACAAGAGATATTACCTTGTTATCTCGGCATCTCTTGAGGAAGGCCAGTGTCTCGAGAAGCTGTGACTTCTTGTCTCGTTGTCTGCTAAAAACTCTTAACAGATAGGTGGAATTCCTCCCCGTAGAGGGTATTAATTCTAGATTTCTCTTGTAATCTCTCATTTACTTGATACAGCTATCGTGCTGTGACGGTTCCACCTGAAGACGGAAGCTTGTGTTGCTTCCGAAACGTCGTGATTTTTATTTTATTTTATTTTTATTTGACTTTTATTAATTTTAATTTTTCACCTACGTGACTTTACCGAAAAATCCTAAGAATATGAATCCTGGCAGTCACGAAAGCTTCAAATCTAGAACCAACAGTGCCTCGTCGACCTCGTCACAGAGGATAAACCATCGTCGCGCGAACTTCTCTCGCCCTCGAAGCGGCGGCTTCTGGCTGGCCGTAGAACAAAGGCGGCGGTCACCGCATCGCGTGGCCGTCTGGAACGCTCTCTCTTCCGATATTGGGAAGCCACTGGTGCTGTTGCACTTTTTAAATCATCATCCAGACTGAGAACGTAATTTCTTTCGAACTGCTTTTCGCGTCGAGTTTGTTGCTACCCTTCTCCCCGCACTTCCGATCAGCACGGTTGGCTTTGTACGGCGCGAATGAGGTTCAACAATCAAAAAGCTGTTCTAAATAAATACAGTTTCAATGTAGATGATTTAGATTTAAAAATGCGCAGCTCCAGTGACTAATATCGTGTGTAAACGTCGCCACTGGGGAGATAAAGGCGGCCGGGCGTGACGCTAGCCAGCCACCCCCTCGTGTGCCGTGTCGGCCTTCATAGGTTCTCACTAACAGCACTTGTCCCCAACAGTCTGTTAGGGCTACACGGGGGATCTTTGCCTTTGTACGTTGAACGTCTTTCACAACCTCCGTAGCCAACCGTGCTAATCGGAGGTGCTAATCTTTAATGAACACCTTACGAAGGATGGGCAGCACTGCATACGAGAGGGCGGGTGGGTCGATGGGTGGGCTGCCACCACACCGGGCTGCGTTTCTTTTTAGGCCGAGCCGACCTGTGGGAGTTCCAGATCCTCCTGTACGCAAATTCGGTCGTGATCGGGGGTCGCGGGCGGAATCGAACTCGGGTCCACCGCTGGGGGTTCGTAGCTCAGTTCATCGCGGCGGCCACTCGCGCCACCGCTCCCCGTAAGGTGCCGAGACCTCACGCCACGACATCGCGATGTTGTGTGGCGCGCCGTGAGTGGCCGTGCATGTTTCGGCCTGCTCGGGCCTGCAAAGGGTGGTGGGGTGGGGTAGAGGGTCGGCCGTGATTTTGAATAAAATGTCATTTGGGAGCGCTGTTTCATCAAACGACGTCTGTTGCGTCCGCCTGCCAATTGCGCTGCGGGCGGTCGCGTACGGAGTCGATCGTTCCAACGGTCGTGGCGTTCCCTTCGAGCGCATGGCACGGGGCCATCCGCCAGCCTGTGCCAGCCGGCACCACCCGCCAGCCTGTGCCAGCCGGTGCCGCGGTGACGTCGCGTATCCGACCGCCGCGCGTGTATATCCCGCGCCCCCCCCCCACCGATTTTGGATGAAGGAGCTGCAGCAACTCAAAACGGTCACATCCGCAGCCGGCAACGGGAGTCGTTCCACCACCCGGGAGAGAGCCTCGTGACCCTCCTCCTACGCAAGAGGGTCCTGCTAATTGGAGAGTTCCTGTTTGGCCTATTGCGCTTGAAACGATCCGTTGAAACGTGAGTCGGCACCCTGAAATTAGTCTAAAACAGCTGCAAAAGTCCAGGCCAGAAAAAAATGTTTTTTTTTTGTTGACCAGTGATATGGACGTTGGAGCGATGCGCTGCGCCTGCTCCCGTAGTCGTCGCTCTCGCATCTCCGTCAGCAGCCGCACGAAAGAAGATGAAGACGAAGACTGAAGATGAAGGAAGACACCTGAGCCATTAGCTCAAAGGGGAACGGAGGGGAAGAATTTCAGGCCAGATGGTCCCCCCCCCCCCTACACAACATCTGAAATAAGTCAGCCGGACGGAGTGTTGGCTAGACGGGGACCGATGATGAGAGGGGTGCAAACCCCCCCCCCCACCCTCCGCGGGATAAAACGCAGGACGGACTCGGAGGGCTGGAGGAGAGATACGAGTTCGCTCTTTATCCGCCCCCCCCACGCGTCACTTACGTTTCTCTTTGTGAGTTTCGTCGTACACCCCTTCCTACCCCTCGTCCACCCCCTCGACTTAAATGCTGACACCCTAACCCCCCCCCCCCCCCGGTGGTGTTTGGGGCAGTGGGGCCTGTCACTCCTTGTCTCTCTACCCCCCCCCCCCCGCTTTCCATAACCGGTTCAGCTCATGTTGACGGCGCTCGCGCGACCTGGCACGGCGGTTTAACGGACCCCGCGGATTGCCTCGATAATAATAAAGTGATCATTGGTTTTTTACCCTTCTATCTGGCAACAAAACTGACACCTTTTTTACGAGGAGTCATGTTTGCATAGACCACAATACCTGCAGTCAGTAATGCAAACAAAAAACACATCTCTGATAATAAATGCACTGTCCTTGAAGTTGATTGGTCCACACCCGAGACAGCTTTCCTTAGAGCTTAGTCTCACATGGTGTTGGGCCAGATGACGCCAAAAGGCGCACAACTCAAAGACAATGCACCATCAGAGTATGAGAGCTCGGGGTAAGCATTTACACCATTGGTACCTCATTTTATCATATTTTTTACTGACAAATGAGGTACCAATGGAATAATAAAGTGGCATAGCTCTTCCCAATTTCGTAAGGAAGAGCGTTCCAGACGGCCGCAAGAAGCGCGTCTGAAAGCGCCGCGCGATGCGGTGGCGAATTTGCCGGATCATAGGGTTCCAGCTCGGGTAGCAGTGGTAAGAGAGTGGTGATACTCTTTGGTTCTTTCGGTAAAGTCACGTTGGTATGAAATAAAATGAATCGCGACGTTTCGCTTGCAACACAAGCAATCGTCATCAGGTGGGAAAACCACAGCAATAATTGTTTTTGCTAAAGTGGGAGAGAGATGTCGTGTTAAGAGGTTATATAGGTAAGAAAGGGGGGGAGGGGCAAGGGGGGAGAGAGAGAGGGGGGGGGGGGCTCTGCGTGGACGCTGATGATGATTGCTTGTGTTGCAATCGAAACGTCGTCATTTATTTTATTTTCTACCTACGTGACTTTACCGAAAGAACCAGAGTATGGATTCCTGCAGTCACGAAAGCTTCAAATCTAAACAGTGGTAATAGTTGAGAGTTTTAAGGCTTTGCCACGGAATGGAAATGCAAAGGTTTCTGCGACACCTCATTAAACACGTACTAGTGACGAATTGGCACGTTCTGTTTGCGTGACAACCCTTACTAGTTGGCTGTGTCGGGTGGTAGTGGCGGGTTTAAAACGACACATTTATATATTTACGCGATCTAACCCCTAAAAAACCCTCTTATGGACACCTCATTAGGTCACGCAAGCCGTGCCAGTGAAAGTTTGGGTGAGAACGCTGCGCCAAGTTTGATTCGTGGTCTCGCTGCGCACGAGGAGACAATTGTGAAACGTCACGTTGCGAGTGTTGTCACACGGATCGGTGATTTGCTCGTCGAGGTTTAGGGCCAGCTGACCAGGGATTGGACACAAATAGGGCAAAGGTAACCCCGCGTGGCTTTCGACAGACCGTTGGGGCAAGCGCTTCAGCAACGCCGCAACGTCTAATATCGTCATTGTCGTCGTTTTCTCTCCCAAAAGGCGGATTCCCTCAAAAGAGTGAAGAGGCTTTGGCAGGCGCCGACTCCACAGGCCAAAGAGAACGCCCCGAAACCCTACCCCATCTACGTGACCACGGTGAGGCCACGCAGACACCAGACGGACCTGGCTTCGATGCGAGGCTTTGCGCAGGGATCCCCGTTCCCCGTTCTCGGATTGTATGATGTGCGTGCGTTGAGCTTCTTTCGCGCCGTGCGCAGCCAGCCGTGCTGTGCGAAAGGAGCAGAGGTCGCAACCAGGTACCCGATACCCGTACCCGACTCGATACCCGGCTACCCGTACCCGGCCGGGTACGGGTACCCGTTTGCGACCCTGGTGCGGCCGGGTACGGGTACGGGTAGGCCGTGAGTCACTGGTGAGTAACCGTTTGTCACTCATTTCCCAAGGTCTTGTCTCTTCTCACAATGCAAGGTCCTAGAATCAACCCACCCACGCCGGCAACATGGCTTCATCCCAGAGGTCGAAATCGGGTACCCGATACCCGTACCCTACCCGTGCCCGGCCGGGTACGGGTAGGGTACAGGTACGTACGGGTAAGGGTACCCGTTTGCGACCCTGGTGCGGCCGGGTACGAGTACGGGTAAGGAATCAAAACCCGTTTGCGACCTCTTGAAAGGAGTTAATCGTACGTACGAAGGTACGTGCATGAAGCAGAAAAGCCAGAAATCGTGCCGAAACAGAGCCGCGCGGAGCTGTTGTGTGGGGGGCCACCGTGACAGCGATTGACACCGCGATGGAGAGAGAAATCAGCTGGACCCAAGGGACATTTACAAACTATCAGAATAATCTTGGTCAGACACATTTTTTTTATTTCACCAGTTGAGGCCCACATGTTGATGGCTTTGGCCCAATGCCAGTGACATTTGAGTGGGGGTTTAATGTCCGCTGTCAGCTACTGGAGGAGAGTGGAGACCCCATTGGAGTGAGAGAGAGAGAGAGAAAGCACAAAAACTCCACAGAGAGAGAGAGAGAGAGGCGCCCGTAATCAAGGTGTTTTTCTTTCTGGGTTGCATCGCGTGAATATAAATGCGTCGTTAAACCCACCACCCACCCGACACGGCCAATCGGTAAGGTTTGCCACGTAAACAAAATGCGCAAATTGGTTACCAGTTCAGCACTAACCGGCGCAGTTGTGGGTTTACTGTCGGTGTGCTGAAGTTTACGTGACAAACCTGACTAATTGGGCCGCGCCAGGCTGGTGGCGAGTTTAGCGACCCATTAAAATTAACGCGATCGAACGCAAGAAACAAAAGCCCTCTTTTTACGGATAACATCGGTCGCGAAAGCCTCGCTGCTACGCGTGACACTGAGGCGATTGAACGCAGGCCAGCTTCCAGCTGCGTACGGCACGAGCCACGTCTCGCACACTTGGAGACTTTAACACGGCTCAGGCGAGAAGCGGCGGGGGGGGGGGCTAAGCTGTCAAATAATAGGGGACGGAGGGGGCTCATCCCCTAACAGCCCCCCACCACAACAGAAGCCTTGCAGGGTGGCGGGGGGGGGCAGCAGCTGCTGTGATGCTAACCGCGCGTGTCATTCATCTTGCGTGTACATCGTGCGTGTTCATCGTGCATCTTCATCACATGTCTTCAACCGTGCGTGTTCATCTTCATGTACTCCCCCAGTACGTCTCGGACAAGCTCCAGTTCTATCCGCTCACCTACCGGCTGGAGGGCCCAGGGGCCAGCCAGGACCCCAGAGGTCTTTTCACCATTGACAACGACGGCAAAGTCTGGGTCACCTCCGTCCTTGACCGCGAGAAGCAGTCTCGCTACGCGGTGAGTCTCGCTACGCGGTGGTGAGTCTCGCTACGCGGCGGTGAGTCTCGCTGGGAGGTGGTGAGTCTCGCCGGGAGGCGGTGAGTCTCGCTAGGCGGTGACAGGGAACCTGTTGGGCGAGCCGCGTGCTTGCGTCTCCCACCTGCAGTGGAAGAATTCTCAGAGCGGTCACCATGGCAATTGGGTTGGTTATTATTGGGTGCTGTGGTTACAAAAACGTTTCTCTCGGTGAGCAATTGGCATTTGGCCGGCGACCGTTCGGCCTCGGGCCACTCGCAGCTCCTCCGCGGAGGCGTCGAGAGGAAGTGGAGAGATGGGGGGGGGGCAGTTAACCCCCCAGCCCCCCCCCCAGCGCCCCCCCCCCCCCACAATACGGTACACGAGGGGGTGGGTGGCTGGCACCACGCCTGGCCGCGTTTGTCTCCCCAGTGGCGACGTTTACCGCACACCGCGCCAGGTTACTCGTTTGAGGCTGAGTCGACCTAGGCGAAGCCCAAGACCGGTTCAGATAATCGCCACCGGTGTTGGCCGTGAGCGGGAATCGAACTCGGGCCACCGGGTTCGCAGCGCCACCGCTCCGTACACAGCTTTTGCAGAACAGGGGTAGAAACAGCACGCCAACTCGCAACTTAACAAAAGGCATCGTCAGGGTCTGGGATTGAACCCATGGACTTCCTGCGCACCGGGCGTGGGAGAGATCACGTCTCCTCGCCACCGATGCGAGATGTTAGGGGGTAGGGGTGGACCCCCCGCTGCCCCCCGTTCCGGGAGCAACTTCGTCAACTGCGCTTCAATAACCGAAGCAACTCCCGGTGCGTGGAGTGAAACGTCGGACAATTTTGCCGTTCGGATGGCCGTTGAAACCCTTACAGCCCCTACACGGTAGTGGTGGTGGTGACGGTGGCCACACTCTGCACGTAGGCGTGGCTGATGTGAGCTACTGCGTAGGCAGCAGCAAAGGTTGGTGGATCACGCACAGATGGGTTGCGAAACTCCCTTCTCTTGGGTGGGTGTCAAGGAGGAGCCCTACCCCTGACTCTGCCAGGTAGCAGGCGGTGGTGGTACAGCAGCAGAGTGTGTGGACTCATCGCCATCTGTTGCTTCCATTTGTACGGGGTTGGGAGAGGGGGATAGAGCGTTGCCCCCTCTCGCAAGGCGTGGAGGTTTTCTCTGCGGGGTGCTCCGGTTTCGTCCTCCGCATGTTCAAGTTCAAGTTCATTTATTAGGTATAGCCCTGTGAGCCATTCGCAACCGCAACAAACAAAAAACAAAAACATGAACAAAAAAACATCTTAAAGTGAATATGTGACCGAGTGCAAACAGAATAATAAACGCGACTCGTCGTCGTTAATTGGACGTTGAAATGATCTTACGGACAAACGCCAAAATATGGCAGGGGCAGGACCCTCTTCAAAATAAGTAATATTTAAAAAAAAACTTTTTTTTAAAACACGCTTTTATGAAATGTACTAGTAATGGAAGAACTCCACGACTCCAGGAAGTGGCCCCGAAGCTTGCCATAACGCAAGGGACCGTGGCCAATTACAGCCAACGTCAGTTGACCGTGGACAATTAGACCCAAGCCGAAACATAACATATAAAAAATGTTTAAAAATATACATTTATTATTTTTTATGCTAGAATATAGTATTGTCGTTAGTATCACATAAGTATACGAAGTTTGCAGTCGATACGACATTGGGAATACGGTTGAAATTGAGTTACAATATTTTTGGATATAACACTAGCAATACGTTAAATAAAAGCGTGTAAAAAGTTGTAAAATATATGTTTTGGATTTTTTATGATATAATATAGTATTGTCATCAGTATGACATAGCTATACGAAGTTTGCAGCCGATAGCACATTGCCAAATGTGTAAAAATTGAGTTACAAGAATTAAACCAAAGAATAATTCCTGCAGTCACGAAAGCTCCAAAATTAAGATTGAGTTACAAGATTTATTTTTTGAGGATACGACAGACGAAGCGAGTTAAAAAATAAAAGCGTGTAATCATAAAAATATTAAATAGTCCTGCGACTCGGCAGGGTGGCCCTGCCGCATAGATATCGAAGCAACTGTTGGAACACCACGTGAACACACGGACAACAGCAGCAGCAGCATGATTGTGACACATTGCCCGCAATCATTGATATTTGATTCTTTATTTCGGCTTGGGGAAAACCGGTCGAGCCCGAGGAACCACGCCCCGGCTCACACCCCCACCCACCACCCACCCCCCCACACCCCCCACCCACCACCCCAACCCCCACCCACCACCCACCCCCCCACACCCCCCAACCCCCCACCCACCCACCATCCACCCACCCCGCCGCTCCGAGGCCCCAGGGTCACCGCCCCGCATCGGCCCCCGCCCCCCCCCCACGGCCGGGCGGATTGCAAACGCCGAGGCTGCTGCGGTGTCGGCTGTCAGAGACGGTGGTGGTGGTAGTGGAGGTTGTGGTGGTGGTAGTGGTGGAGGTCGTGGAGGTGGTGGTGGAGATGGTGGAGGTGGTGGTGGAGTGGTGGAGGTGGTGGTGGTGGAGGTGGCGGAGGTGGCGGTAGTGGAGTGGTGGTGGAGGTGGTGGAGGTGGTGGAGGTGGTGGTGGTGGTGGAGTGGAGGAGGTGGCAGTGTGGTGGTGGAGTGGTGGTGGTGGTGGAGGTGGTGGTGGTGGAGGTGGAGTTGGTGGTGGTGGAGCTGCTGGTGGTGGTGGTGGAGTGGCGGAGTGGTGGAGGTAGTGGAGGTGGTGGATGTGGTGGTCGTGGTGGTGGTGGTAGTGTGGTGGAGGTGGTGGTGGAGGTGGTGGAGGTGGTAGTGTGGTGGTGGTGGATGTGGTGGTGGTGGTAGTGTGGTGGTGGTGGATGTGGTGGTAGTGGTAGTGTGGTGTTGGTGGAGGTGGTGGATGTGGTGGTGGTGGTAGTGTGGTGGTGGTGGATGTGGTAGTGGTAGTGTGGTGTGGTGGAGGTGGAGGGGGTGGTAGTGTGGTGGTGGTGGATGTGGTGGTGGTGGTAGTGTGGTGTTGGTGGAGGTGGTGGATGTGGTGGTGGTGGTAGTGTGGTGGTGGTGGATGTGGTAGTGGTAGTGTGGTGTGGTGGAGGTGGAGGGGGTGGTAGTGGTTGTGTGGTGGAGGTGGTGGATGTGGAGGTGGTGGAGGTGGTAGTGTGGAGTGGTGGAGGTGGTGGAGGTGGTGGAGGTGGTGGATGTGGAGGTGGTAGTGTGGTGGAGGTGGTGGATGTGGAGGTGGTAGTGTGGAGTGGTGGAGGTGGTGGAGGTGGTGGAGGTGGTGGATGTGGAGGTGGTAGTGTGGAGTGGTGGAGGTGGTGGTGGATGTGGAGGTGGTAGTGTGGAGTGGTGGAGGTGGTGGAGGTGGTGGATGTGGAGGTGGTAGTGTCGAGTGGTGGAGGTGGTGGATGTGGAGGTGGTAGTGTGGAGTGGTGGAGGTGATGGAGATGGTGGTGGTGGAGGTGGTAGTGTGGTGGAGGTGGTGGAGGTGGTGGATGTGGAGGTGGTAGTGGTGGAGGTGGTGGAGGTGGTGGTGGAGATGGTAGTGGTGGTGGTTGCTACGCTGCGCCACGAACCCGGCAGAGGACCCGAGTTCGATCCCCGCTCACGGCCAACACCAACGCCAGTGTCGATTATCTGAACCGGTTCCTGGGCCTCCCCTAGGTCGACTCAACCTCGAATGAGTAGCTGGCGCGGTGTAAACAACATCACCACTGGGGTGACAAAGGCGGCCGGGCGTGGTGCTGGCCACCCATCCCTCGTTGTGCCCATCCGGCCTTCATAGGCGCTACTCGCTAGCAGCACTTGCCCCATCAGTCTGTTGAGGCTATACGGGGGATCTTTGCCTTTGGTGTCAGTGGTCGTGACGCTTAAAGTTGATAGGTGGGGGGGGGGGGGCTGAGCGTGACGCGCACGGCCCTAGCGCTGGAGTTGAGACTCCAGGCTGTGTGGGTGTGAGTGTGGGGGTGTGGATGGGTGTGGGTGGGTTGGTGTGTGTATGGGGAGCGGTGGTGTAGCGGTCAGCGCGCTGCACTACGAACCTGGCGACCCGGGTTCGATTCCCGCTCACGGCAAACACCAGTGACGATTATCTGAACCGGTCCTGGGCCTCCCCTAGGTCGACTCAGCCTCAAATGAGTACCTGGTGCGGTGTGTAAACATCGCCGCTAGGGAGACAAAGGCGGTCGGGCGTGGTGCTGGCCACCCACCCCCTCGTGTACCGTTCCGGCCTTCATAGGTGCTCGCTAACAGCACTTGCCCCTACAGTCTGTTAAGGCTATTTGGGGGATCTTTGTCTTTGTGTGGGGGGGTGTGGGTGGATGTGGGTGGATGTGGGTGGTTGGTGGGTGGTGTGTGGGTGAGTGTGTGTGGGTGTGGGTGGGTGTGGGTGGGTTGGTGGGTGTGGGTGGGTGGGTGTGGGGGCGTGGGTGGGTGTGGGTGGGGGTGTTGGTGGGTGTGGGGTGTTGGTGGGTGTGGGAGTGTAGGTGTGTGTGAGTGTGTATGTGGGTGTGTGTGTGTGGGTGTATGTGTGTGGGTGTATGTGGTGTGTGTGTGTGTGGGTGGGTTGGTGGGTGTGTGTGGGTGAGTGGGTTGGTGGGTGTGGGAGTGTTGGTGGGTGTGGGAGTGTTGGTGGGTGTGGGAGTGTGGATGGTTGGTGAGTGTGTGTGGGGGTGTGGGTGTGGGTGGGGGTTGTGGGTGTGGGTGGGGGTGTGGGTGTGGGTGTGGTGGGGGGGGGGTGTGTGGGTGGGGTGGGGGTGGGTGTGGTGTGGGTGGGGGTGTGGGTGTGTGGTGTGGGGGGGTGGGTTTGGTGTGTGTGGTGGGGGGGTGTGGGTGGGTTGGTGAGTGTGTGTGGTGGGGTGGGGTGGTGGTGAGTGAGTGTGTTGGGTGGGTGGGTGGGGTGTGTGTGTGTGTGTGGGTGTGGGTGAGGGGTGGTGTGTGTGTGGGTGGGTGTGGGTGGGTGGTGAGTGTGTGGGTGGGTGTGGGTGGGTTGGTGAGTGTGTGTGGGTGGTGGGTGGGTTGTGGGTGGGTTGGTGGGTGTGGGTGAGTGGGTGAGTGTGTGTGTGTGGGTGGGGGAGTGGGGGCGTGGGTGGGGTGTGTGTGTGTGGGGGGGGGGTGTGTGTGGGTGGGTGGGTGTGTGTGTGTGTGGGGGGGGTGGGTGGATGTGGGTGGGTGTGGATATGTGTGGGTGGGTGTGGATATGTGTGGGGTGTGACACTGCCTCCCACCCTCTTTGAGTGAAGGCTGCAACTGATTAAATCCACGGTTTCCAACCGTTTACGGAGAGCCACCGCCCATTCATCATCAACCCACACCTCTGCCACCCCAACACGCGTGCTCCGTGTGTGTTTTGCGCCACTCACGGAGGTCACCACTGGGGCAGATTACCGCCACAGCTCCGTCGTGTTGGGCGCCGCGATGGCTAGGAGATGTTAACTCCCTCGCCTGGTATGCAGGAGGTTCATGGGTTCGATCCCGTCCCTGACGCCTGTACGCATGTACTGCATGTTGAACTTCTTTCGCACCGTACGTAGCCAACCATGCGAATCGGACGTGCTGGGGGAAGAGCTGCAAGCTATTCGGAGTTTGCGTGTCTCTCTCCCCGTGGTCGCGTGGATTTTTTTCCGCGTCCTGCTGTTTTTCCCTCCCCATTTAGAAGTGTGCTTTGAGAGTTTGTGGCTGTTGTACATTTCCACGTGATAAGTCACTTGAGCTTTTAATTTGTGGCGAGTTCGCTTCTGAAAAATTAACCCGTAATAACTAAGTTTTTCACTATAAATCCTTTATATGCGTGGCGGCTAGAGTCCTCTCGTCCTCTGGCTTGAGATGGCTGCCACCTATTGGTCAGATGATTGCCTGCCACCATTAAGCAATTGGTAATTAAATATAATTTATTTTTTCCTAAAAAGTGTAAAATTTAGGAAAAGCAATTGTCACGCACAACGAGTATGTGTGCAAAATGTCAGCTCGATTGGATCACGGGAAGTGGGTTAAAAAACGACCGAAAGATTTGCACGGTCGTAAGCGCGCAAGCAAGCAAGTGAACTTAATATAAAGGATTTAAAAAGAAAAGGCCATATAGCTCAGTGGGCTTTGCCTCGGAAAATACAAAGTTTTAGTTTAATAGTTTTAACGAATTGGCTCGTCGTGTAGAAATTTACAGCTGCCAGTTATTCGATTGGCATCTCACCCACAGCAGCAGCAGCAGCATCGCCCCCCTCTACTGTGAAAACGGGACAGGACCCTCCTGTAAACGAGTCTTGAGATTCGGGGAGGCTTTCCTGGCTAAACGAGTAAAATCACTAGAATAATACTGTAGCAGTAGCAGTAATAATAAACTCTAAACTCTTTTTCATTTTACGAGGAAAGGCCCACTGTGCGACACGTCTCTTTTTCAGAAGCGACCTGGCCACAAATGATAACTCGACGAAGTGGCTTATCACGTGGAAATGTACAGCAGCTAAACACTCTAAACGCGCGACGTTGATTCTAAATGTGGAAGTAAAAACCGGAGGACCCGGAGAAAAATCCACGCGATCAACACAGGGAGAGAGCTCCAAATATACAGCAGGCGTCAGGGTCGGGATGGAACACACGAACCCAAGACCTGCTGTATACCAGGCGAGGTAGTTAACATCTCGCCACTGTAGCGAGATGTAAGTTGAATTTATTTTGCAGCGTGCGTAGCCGACCGTGCTAAGCGGAGACATTAAACACCGCTACCCCCCCCCTCACCCCCTATCATCCCCAACCCCCCCCCGCCTGCCCCCTTCCCATCGTCCATCCCGGCGACCCTCCGGGACCCCCCCCCCCTTCCTCCGCAGATGACGGTGCACGCGATGGATCGCTCCATGACCGATGTGGAGGAACCGGCTAACCTGGTGGTGGACGTTGAGGACGAGAACGACTGCCCCCCTATCTTCGTCCTGTCGTCCCTGAGTGGCACCGTCGACGAAATGAGCCCCGCGGGTGAGGCCTCGGACGCGGGGGGGGGGGGGGGCGGGGGGCTTGGGGGGGTCACGGGCAGATGTCGGGGGGGGGGGGGGATTACGTGATTATGTAACTGGTTCGGCAATCACGTGGATGTTTTGTAGGTCACGTGACGGGTTCAGGGGTCACGTGTAGAGATCGTAGGTCACGTGACTGGTTCGGGATCCACGTGTAGGGATCGTAGGTCACGTGACTCGTTCGGGGGTCATTGTCATATACATGATGGTGATGGTGACGATGATATGATGATGGTGACATGATGATGATATTCATGACGATCGCGATGCTGATGGTGGCAATGTTGCTCTTCACGATGAGACATGCATGATGATTTATGGATGTTGAACGTCTTTCGCGCCGCACGTAGCCAACCGTGCTAATCGGAGGCGCGTGCTGATGATGGCGATGCCGATGTCTAATGATTATATTCTCGTTGATGATGGTGACGACGGCGGCGGCGGTGCAGGCACATTCGTGATGCGTCTGAACGCGACGGACGCGGACGACCCCAACACGCTGAACGCGATGGTTGTGTACTCCATCGAGTCCCAACCGCCGGGAAACCCATTCCTCGTGAACGCCCAAACGGGGGTGGTCACTACTCAGTTGGCCAACCTGGACCGAGAGGTGAGAGGCTCCGCTGCCGCCGTCGTCGTCGTCGTTGTCGTAGTCGTCTTCATCGTCATGATCATCTTCACAATCGTCATCATCGTCGTCATGGTCATCATCATTATCTCATGGTCATCGTCATCATCATAGTCATCATCATCACCACCATCGTCATCATCATCGTCGCCATCGTCATGAGCTAGGAGAGAAAGGTTGCCTTTCTGGAAGACGCGTGAAGATATCACGCCTGTCAACCCAGACGCTTCACCCCGTACTCTTGTACAGGGAAATTGAGTTTTTCAGGTCCCTACGGCGTACAGCCGTTTCAATACGGGCACAAAAATAAATAACGCCTGTTTGTGTTTCTCCCTTGTGAGGGGACTTTGTAGGCTGAACGTTGAGATTTTTAAGGGGCACGGGTGACCAATACGGTCGGCTATGAAGTCATCACAACTATCAACGCTTTATCGCTCATCGGATTCCTCCTGTACGAACACAAACTCTTGATTGGGAATCGTTCACATGCGTGCAGGCCGAGCGAGTAGACCAGGGGTGGGGAACGTCCGGTCCGCGGGCTGTATAAGGCCCGCAAAATCATTTAGTGTGGCCCTGCCAAGGCAACCGCAGGCGGGACTCGAAATTCAATAAATCTAGGAGCAAACCTGGAAAAGCAGTTGCGAGTAGCAGCAACATCATCAATACCAGCTAACATCATCACACGCCTCGCCAAAGAGAAGCAGTTCCAGCCATCGCATTAGGGGTTGAGTTAATTAAATGTTTGACCAAAGTTAACAGGCAAATTTTTAAGTTGATAATTTTGTATGGCCCGCAAATGATGTTGTAAATATCCAAATGGCCCTTGGCAGAAAAAAAAAGCTTCCCCACCCCTGGAGTAGACCCACACCACCACCACCACCACCCGCCCCGCCATCGATTGCCCTAGACAAACACCGCATGGTTTGACGGCCCATGCTGTGGTGCGACTTGCCGCCCGCAGCTGCAAGAGAACGATGACCTTCGTGGTGAAGGCCAGGGACTTGCAGGGAGCGCCGCTTTGCCTCTCCGCCACGGCCACGGCCACCGTCCGCCTCAACGACATCAACGACAACTGGCCCGTCTTCGATGCCACCATGGTGAGTGGGTGTGGGGGGGGGTGGGGTGGGTGGGAGGACTGGGGTGGGGTGGGATAAGGCACTATGTTAATTATTTTAACATAAAAGCTGCATAGCTCATTTGGGGCCTTACTTTGGCTGCTGCATCTCCTTAATATTAAAATTCCTTCCCTTTATTACTGCTAACCCCACTTCCTCCCTTTGTTGCTGCTAATCCTACATAATGCACGGGCATAATATGACTTTGAGACCCCGCCCACCTCCTACGCATTTCACAAGTAGTGACTAATCCCATATCTGCATTTCCCATAAATATGCTAAATTCCTCTGTTGATATGCTAATTCCTTTGTCAAGGCACCCTTCCTCCTCTAACCCAGCTTAAATGTACGCTGCCAAACTTGGTGGTGTTCATTCAGACGCTGTCTTTCCGACATACATGTTCTTCACCTGAGGACGGCTGCTTGCGTTGTGGCTGAAACATCGTGAGAATTGTATTTTATAATTTTGTATTTTTATTATTTTATTATTTCCCTTCTACGTGACTTTACCGAAAGAACCAAGAAGACAAAATAAACACTTGATAGTTTTTAGGCATCGTGCCGTGAGAAACGGCGTCGCGGCTGCCAACGCTCGTCCGCCACCTTGGGGTTGGGCGTGAAGGCCGGAGGCTCGTCCTCGTTGGTGACGCTGATCTCCACGGTAGCCGTGCGCTCCGTCTCCGAGGAGGGCCCCACGAACGACGAACGGCACCTTCGTTGGCCACGGCGACGAGCAGCGTGTAGCGTTCCTTCATCTCGAAGTCCAGCGGTTGGCGGGGGGGGGGGGGCCGCACGAGTTTAATTAGTTCTCGACTTCTTGAGACGTTATTCCCACTTCCCGCATCGTCATTGAGATTTCCCGCATTGCCTTTCCCGCATCGTCTTCCCCACTTCCTGCAAACCTCTAACCGCCCCCCCTCCCCCCCGTTGGCCATCACCAGGTTGTAGGGAAGGTGATGGAGAACAAGCGAGACGTGACGGTGGCCGGGCTCTCCGTGAAGGACCGGGACCAGTCGGGTTCGCCCAACTGGCGCGCCGTCTACCGCATCGTGGCCGGCGACGAGCAGGCCCAGTTCACCGTGCGCTCTGTGCCGGAAACCAACGGCGGAGCCGTCACGGTGGTCAAGGTGCGTAGCCCCCCCCCAGCGACGATGATTACTTAATAATACGCTTCCAGGCTGCGCTGAGTCTATTAAGTAACACACGACACGTATTGCAATTCCTTACAGGTGAGTCACATGCTAAGTGGCCGATTACTGATTTCCTCCGCCTCTGATCTCAAATCCTGATGGGGTGCTCAAAGAAGTGGGAATGTATAGCAGCAGAGAAATACTCTTGAACGCCAGATGACGTTGATTCTTAATTGTGGAGGGGAATAAAGCACCGCCGGAGGATCTAGAGAAAAATACATGAGACGCAAACTCACAAATATACAAGCAAGCGTCAAGGTCGGGATTGAACCCACGACATCCTGTATAATAGGTGAGATAGTTAACATCTCCTAGCCACCGTGATGATGATGATGAGAGAGACACCGCAAACTCCAAATATACAGCAGCAGGTGTCAGGGTCAGGATTGAACCCACAGCATCCTGTATACTAGGCGAGATGGTTAACATCTCCTAGCCACCGCCGCGTCTCTTGAGTTTCTTGTGAGGTTGAACAAAATCAACTTGAAACATAAACTCGCTCACTCCACTGTTTACACACGAACCCACCATCTCACTCACCATGTCACTCGCCCACGCACTCATTCACTCCCCCGCTCACCTGCTCACCCGCTCATGCACTCACTCTCGCAAACGGGACTCTGTCCTGGTCTCTTAAGTTCTCACTTTGTTGAACAAAATAAACTTGAGTCTTATACTCACTCACCGTTTCACCCAATCATTTGCCCACTCACCCTCCATCTCACTCATCCACTCATTCACCCACTCAATAATGCACTCACTCACCCACCTAGCTCCTCAAAGACAAAGATCCCCAACGCATCCAGACCTGTGGGGCAGGGGGCTGCTAGCTGGTAGCACCTTTGAAGGTTCATACGGCGCAACCGACGAGTGGGTGGGCGGTCGGCACCCATGCCTGGCCGCCTTTGTCTCCCCAGTGCCGATGTTCACACACGACCGCACCGGCCACTCACAGCTGTCCTCGCATCCACGTCGAGCAGTGATTAGATGCGTGGCGGCAGTTCAGGTTTGAGACTACGCGAAGCATCTTCCGGACAGCATCCGGTGGAAGTGACAGTGACAGGAAGTGGGAATGACGTTGCAGGAAGTGGCAATCACTATGCAGGAAGTGAGGATGACGTTGCAGGAAGTGGGGATGACGATGTAGGAAGTGAGGATGACGTTGCAGGAAGTGGGGATGACGATGCAGGAAGTGGGAATGACGTTGCAGGAAGTGGGATAGACGTTGCAGGAAGTGGGAATGACGTTGCAGGAAGTGGGGATGACGATGCAGGAAGTGGGGATGACGATACAGGAAGTGGGAGTGACGATACAGGAAGTGGGAGTGACGATGAGGGAAATCGGAACGAATTAAACTCGTGCTGCCCCCTCCTCCCCACAGCCGCTGGACTTCGAGATAAAGGAACGCTACACGCTGGTCATCGCCGTGGCCAACGAGGTGCCGTTCGTGGGGCCCTCCTCGGAGACGGAGCGCACGGCCACCGTGGAGATCAGCGTGACCAACGAGGACGAGCCTCCGGCCTTCACCCCCAACCCCAAGGTTCAAGTTCATTTATTTCAAGTTCATTTATTAGGTATAGCCGTTTCTCATGGCGAACTATAAATTATTTATTTTTAATCTTACCAGGTAAGGCCCCAACTGAGCCGAATAGCTTTTTTTCAGACGCCACACTGGCCACCACAACTGATAGATCAACGAAGTGGCTTGTGATCTTGTGGAAATGTACGGCAGCCAAACAAACGCGCCATATTGGTTCTAAACGTGGAGGGGAAAAAAAAACGGGAGGATCCGGAGAACAATCCGCATGATCACGGGGAGAAAGACACGCAAACTCTAAATACACAGCAGGCATCAGGGTCGGGATCGAACCCACGACCTCCTGCATACCAGGCCAGGTAGTTAACATCTCCTAGCCACCTTGATGATGATGAGAGAGAGACACGCAAACTCTAAATATACAGCGGGTATCAGGGTCGGGATCGAACCCACGACCTCCTGCATACCAGGCGAGGAAGTTGACACATCGCCATCTGTGGTGCCCCAACATCTGAAACCCAAACCATGACCTCGGGCCTTTCAGGAAATCTACATCGAGGAGCAGAACCCGCCGGGAAAGCAGCTGGACAAGCTTGTGGCGCGCGACCCGGACTTGGCCCAGCAGGGGCTGCCCCTCAGGTAACTAAACAGCTACGTAAACACGCACACACGTGACTCTTGCAGCAAGTGCTGCTAGCAAGCAGCAGCTGCTATGAAGGCCGGCACAGCACACGAGGGGGAGACAAAGGCGGCCGGGCGTGGTGCTGGCCACCCACCCACCCCGCCATGCGCTGCTCGCCGGCCCGAGCTAAGTCGGTACACAAGGAGGTTGCCCCGCGATAGGTCAAAACCGCGAGCGGTAAGCCGTGCGGTATTCAAGCGTCTCCCGCTATGGACGGGCGTAGATCTCTCTTTCGCGCCGTACGTAGCCGACCGCGCTGATCGGAGGTGCCATCGCCGCGCGCAGGTACCAGATCGCGAGCGACCCGGCGCACTGGGTGAGCGTGGAGCCAGCGACGGGCGTCCTCACCGCCACGGCGAGCATGGACCGCGAGTCGCCCTTCGTCAAGAACGGCACCTACACCGTGACCGTGCTCGCCATCCAGGACGGTGCGGAGCCCGGCGTTGTCTTTGTCTCTCGCTGTGTGTCTCTGTCTCTCGCCGTGTGTCTCTGTCTCTCACTGTGTGTCTCTGTCTCTCACCGTGTGTCTCACTCTGTCAACTCGCTGTGTCGTGCAGGGCACTCACCACTTTGTCACCGCTACCCGCTGTATTCCTCGCACGCACGCGCACACACATCCGGATCTCAACATGTGCACACATGTCGTGCCAAAGGGATGTAATGGATAGCTCGCCGCACTTGCAATCGCGAGGTTGTGGGTCGACCTCGGACGAGACCCAGGGACCGGTGCAGATAACCGTCCACCGGTGTTAGCCGTTAGCCGCGCTAACGCCGCGACCGCCGCCACCCCCACCGCCTTCCCCGTGCGCACCACAGGCAGCCCGCCCAGTACGGGCACGTCCACCGTGAACATCTACCTGAAGGACCTGAACGACAACGCGCCGGTGGTGTCGGTGCCGGGCAGCGCCCATGCGTGCCTCCCCGAGGACGCGTCCTCGCCCACCGCGCCGGTGGTGCTCAGGGCCACCGACGCCGACGCCGTCCCCAACGGCGCTCCCTTCACCTTCGAGCTGCTCAACGACCCCGCGGGCACCGTGGACCGCTGGGACCTGCGGAAGAACGGCAAGGCGCCCTCACCCCCCCCCCCCCCCGCGGCACCGCACGGCACAACGCCCTGCAGCAGTCTACAGCACCGCACAGCAATGCACTGCACCTAGCAGCACTTGGACAGCAACGCATAGCACCTTCCTGCATTGCACAGCACCACGAAGCGACGCAATGCACGGCACGGGGCAGCAAAGTCCAGTACTGACATGCGCAGCACGAAGCAGCAAAGGAAAGCAACGCACTGCACAGCACAGCAATGCATTGTGCAGTAGTGCGAAGCAACGCACAGCAACGCACAGCACCACACAGCAATGCACAGCACCCACACGGAACAGCAACAGCAATTGACAGCACAGCATCGAGCAGCACCGCACGGCATGGCGCGGTGATGGGAGCGTCTTGCATGGCATGGGCGGCAGAGTGACGGCACGGTGACGACACAGTGACGACACCTGTGCCTCCTCGTAGCAACAAGGTACCTGAGTTCGGTTCCCAACTGAGGGCCCTTGTTCTGTGAGTGGAGTGTGCACGTGTCTCTGTCTCTCTGTCTCTCTCCACGTGGTCGCGTGGATTTTTCTCCGGGTCCCTCCGGTTTCCCCCACCATATTTAGAATCGACGTCCTCATGCGTTTTGAGTATTTGGCTGCTTTACACTTCCCCGTGCTGATGATGATGATGAGCCACTTCGTTGAGCTATCATTTGTGGGCAGGTCGTTTCTGAAAAACTGTTACGTAGCTCGGTGGGCCTTACCTGGTCAAATACAAATTGTTAGTGATAGACTGACGGGAATCGTCATTTGTCTGCGTTACGTGGAACACGTGAATTCGCACACACACAACACGTGTACACATGCAGAACACGCGTACATACACACATACAATACGTATACACATGCAGAACACACGTACACGCACACACACAACACGTGTACACATGCAGAACACGTGTACACGCACACAACACGTGTACAATCACACACACTGAAAACGTGTACAAGCACACACAACACGTGTACACACAACACCTGTACACACAACACGTGTACACACACACAACACGTGTACACACAACACGTGTACACGCACACACGCGTACATGCACACAACACATGTACTGCGCACGCACACAACACGTATACACGCACACACACTGAACACGTGTACAAACACACAACACGTGTACACACAACACGTGTACACACAACACGTGTACACACAACACGTGTACACACACACAACACGTGTACACACAACACGTGTACACGCACACACAACACGTGTACTGCGCACACACACAACACGTGTACATGCACACACAACACGTGCACACACAACACGTGCACACACAACACGCAGACAGCTTCACCGACTCAACGCCCCGGGGCCACGCGGCAAGCCGCTAGGCCGCACCGTAGGCCCGAGTCGACCTTCGCGCTTCCCGGACGCGGCTCGAACGGCAAGCGACGTGACACACCGGGGCGGGCGAACGATCGTCACCACCATGACCCCCACCGTGACCCCTCACCGTGACCGCCCCCACCCCGCGGCACTGACAGGAACCGACTCAGCGGTGCTCGCCCTCAAGACGGCCATGCTGTCGCCTGGCTACTACAACTTGTCGGTGCTGGTGCGCGACCAGCAAGGCCTGGGCGAGCCGCGGCGCGTGCCGATCCGCGTGTGCCGCTGCGGGGGCCTCCTGCAGGGCTCGGCTTGCTCCGGCGACTCGGTCGGCGGCATCGGCCTGGGCTGGGATGCCCTCGCCGCCATCCTCTTCTCCGTGTTCGCGATGCTGCTGTTCGGTGAGACGGACACTTCTCCCTCTCGCTTCTCCCCTCCCGCTCGCCGGAAGCCGACTCCCGCTGCGGCGCACGGAGAGCGGTCGTCGTCACAACGATGACGACCTGCAGCTTCCCCTCCTCCCGACTTTTAAACCCCCCCCCCCCCGCCCGCCATCACCGCTCCTAGCCCTGCATCATCATCCTGCTACTGCTGCTACTCCCTGCCTCGGCTACGACCAGGCCAAACCCTATCACTATCACCTATCACTACCCCTATCAATATCACTACCCCTATCACTATCACTACCCCTATCAATATCACTACCCTTATCACTATCACCACCCCAATCACTATCACTACCCCTATCAATATCACTACCCTTATCACTATCACCTATCACTACCCCTATCACTATCACTACCCTTATCACTATCACCTATCACTACCCCTATCAATATCACTACCCTTATCACTATCACTACCCCTATCACTCTCTATACCCCATTATCCATATCACTATCACTCGCCCCTCTCACTATCACCACCCTATCACATCACTACCCCAACCCCTATCACCACCCCTGCTTTGTGTGCCGTGTGTAATGGGCGCGACCTCTACAGCGACGCCTTCGTTTCGGCAACCGGAAGCAAAATGCAGCTCGGCCAGCACCGGACGGACGCGGTCGCATCTTGCGGTAACCCCGTCGCGACGACCTGCCGCCGTGGTTGTGCGACACGCGCCACAGTTTGCTAATGGTTTTTATTTTATTTGTCAGACGTCCCGTAGAGTGATGTAGTAGGGAGTCGCAATAGTCGAGCCGCGTCGAAGTGGAGCCTGCGCGGCGTGAGAGCCGCGTGGGATTGGGCGGCACGCTGCGCCGTGGCACGGGCGGCGGGAAGGACACGCTTTTGGCAGCCAAGGAAAGCGGGAACGCTGGAACAATGCTGGAACGTTTGGCATGTGTCCGAAGGGAACGTCCGCCGGCGGAGATGGATCGATGAACCCAGCTCGCGTGCGGTTGCTGGGTGGGACCGTTGCTTCACTGAACCGTGGCAGGCGGTGATAGCTTGCGGGGGGGGGGGGGGGGAGCAGGCCTTCATCCAGCAGTGGATTGACGATGGCTGATGACGACGACGATTACGAATCGCTAAACTGCCTCGTGCCATTTTCTTTATTCATTTTAGATTTTGCTTAATTGTCGTGGTGGTTTTCACATGCTTGGCAGTGGCTGTGTATGGGATTTGGCCCTCTGATATATGATTTAACGTTACAGCGTTGTGGGATCCTATGAGCGTGAATGACGCCATATAAAATTACAGTATTATTATTACCGCGCTAAATCATTCACGCTCTTCCTCCATCTCCGCCCCCCCCCCCCCACTCCCACGCCTTCCACTAGGGCTGCTGTGCTGCCTCTTCTGCCGCTCCCAGAAGCCCCGGCTGCTACACCTGGATGACTTCGGCGGCATGAACGCCGGCCTCAGCTCCCTGGTCAAATACAACGAGGAGGGCGGCAAGGAGCACGACAAGGTCACTACGACGATGACGACGATGATGATGATGACGTTGATGATGATGACGTTGACGACGGAGATGGCGATGACGACGGTGGCGACGATGATGACGACGATGATGATGTTGACGAGGACGACGGAGACGAAAATGATGACGATGATGATGATGACGACGATGACGACGATGATGTTGACGACCATGAGTTGTGTCCGATTAAAGCCGCCCTCCCACGCGCATGGCTTTGTGGCAGCCTCGGTACCAAGAATTTAAATCAACGTGATAATGTCGTCGGACCGGGGAAAAAGGGGTTAAGGTCGCGTCGCGTTCTCAGCGCGTTTGATCGGGGTGCCCCCCGGTGGCAGCTGTCCCTGTGCATCTCGAGGTAGCCTCGGTCGCAGCCGACCTGCGAGCGGGCGTGTCGGTTTGGAGCCTCCGGGCGGGGGGGGGGCGATGATTTTCTGCCGTGCGGCGAGCACGCGCGCTGTCGTTTGGTGTACGACAGCCTGTGGAGCGTTGGAGTCGAGTCTCTGAGGTCACGGGGGGCCTCTGGGGAACAACCCTTGACCCGATAGGCAGCAGCGGCTTTCTGTGAGAAGGGTCAACGTTGCCGCGTTGCGTCAAGGCCCCGGGTCATTCCCGGGGCGATCCCCAGGTTCACCGCCTAACAGAGCAGATGGAGAACAGCGCAGGAACTCGGACAGACGGTTTACCATCGTCCCCTCCCTCCCCTCCCTCCCTCCCTCCCTACCCACCCTCCCCTCCCTCCTTCCCCCTCCTCCCTCTCCTCCTCCCCCCTCCTCCCTCTCCTCCTCCCCTCCCTCCCTCGCTTCGGCCGTCCGTCCGTCTCCTGCAGGTGGTGCCGATGTTCACGGAGGCCGACGTGGAGGCGACGACTCCCGGGGTCCACAAGGGCCGCCTAGAGTTAATGGACGACGGCTCGGTCAACGGGGACAGCGGTCACACCAACTCGGTGAGGTCGCCGCACTGCACCCCACCACCACCCCCCCGCCCCGCTCCCCCACCCCCTCCCCCACCCGACCTCGATGATGAAGACGACGATGACGATAACGATGATGATCACGATAATGACAGTGATGACGACGAAAATGATGATGATGGCAATGATCATGGCGACAATGATGAAGACGATGATGAAGACGACGATGATGAGGATGATGGCGACGACGATGATGATGATGATGGCGACGATGATGATGTTCTGCTTTCAGGGCCGGTGGAGTAACAACGGCTGGGCTGAGACGACCGAGACGATTACCACGACGAAGGTTAAACAACACGCGAGGTGGGCACACCCTAGCGTCACAAACACCCCTAGCGTCACAAACACTCCTAGTGCCACATCCACCCTTAGTGTCGCATCCACCCCTAGCGTCACAAACGCCCCTAGCGTCACATCCACCCCTAACATCACAAACACCCCTAGCGTCACAAATACTCCTAGCGTCACATCCACCCCTAGCGTCACATCCACCCCTAGCGTCACAAACACCCCTAGCGTCACAAATACTCCTAGCGTCACATCCACCCCTAGCGTCACATCCACCCCTAGCGTCACAAACACCCCTAGCGTCACAAATACTCCTAGCGCCACATCCACCCCTAGCGTCACATCCACCCCTAGCATCACAAACACCCCTAGCGTCACAAATACTCCTAGCGTCACAAACACTCCTAGCGTCACATCCACCCCTAGCGTCACAAACACCCCTAGCATCACAAACACCCCTAGCGTCACAAACACCCCTAGCGTCACATCCACTCCTAGCATCACAAATACTCCTAGCGTCACAAACACCCCTAGCGTCGCATCCACTCCTAGCGTCACATCCACTCCTAGCGCCACATCCACCCCTAGCGTCACAAACATCCCTAGCTTCACAAATGCCACGGGCAAGGACTCACCGCTCCCCCGAGTGTTGCAGCAGGATCCGTACCTCGCATCTCCGAATGTTCCCGAATTTCGCACCACCGTACGTAGCCCACCGTGCTAATCGGAGGTGCGGCCGGGGTGGGAATACCTAAAGCAGTTCTAAAGAATCTTCTTGGTTCTTTCGATAAAGTCACGTAGAATGGAAATAATAAAATAATAAAAATTTAACATAATAAAATAATTCTCACGACGTTTCGGCCACAACGCAAGCAGCCGTCCTCAGATGAAGAACAGGTCTGTCAGAAAGACAGTTCTAAAGAAATTACTTTTCAATCTCGATTTAAAAGTGTCGTAGCTCCCAGTGGCTTCCTAATGTCGGAAGGAAGAGCGTTCCAGACGGCCGCGCAAGCACGCCTGAAATCGCCGCCGTTGCCGTTCGACGGCGAGCCAAAAAAGCCGCCGCGTGAAAACCTTCGCTCCGTTGGTCCGTTTCTCAACAGGATGTAAATAACTGAAAACGAATGGAGGAAGGAACGAGCGAGGAGAGAGGAGAGCGGGGGGTGGTGGGTGGGCTGGGGGTGGCGGGTGGGCGGGGGTGGTGGGGGTCTGGTGACTACGAAGCCAAGGATCAAGAACGTCGACCGAAGATTCCAGTTCGTTGTTTAGAAGCTCGTGGGTTTCGGGATTTTAAAGCGGGTCTCTCTGGGGGAGAACAGCGAGTTGTTGTAACGCGACGCGCGTTCCTCTCGTTACTCTCGTATGGCAGCGCGGGAACGTTCTTCCCTCTTGTGTGTCGAGTATCAATTGAAGAAGAATAAGAAAGTTGATCTCAGAGGTAGATCTGTGATATCCACTTCTACTCCAAGCCAGGGATTGACCGCCAATTAACTACGAGCAGAACGCGTTGTTTTCAAACGACTGCGGTGTAAGGGTCGACTGGCGCGCGTCTGTTACCGCTTCGCTCGTACCGTTCGTTTAATCGCCGAGCCTCGCCGAGTCTCGAGACTTTTGTTTTCAGGAGGGGTCCTGATAATTTTTCGCAGTTGGTGGGGGAGGTGGAAAGGGAGGGGGGCAATGTTGAGTAAAAAGGTAAAATGTTTCTTTAGAAATGTCATTGTCAACTTGTAGATGTCCTGTGTCTCGTCTCACCCCACGTGGGCCTGCTGCCCGAGCGCTTGTTCCCTTCTTAGCAGACACTGGCGCTTGTTCCGTTCCTCCCCGGCACTGCCTGTTCTTCCGTTCCTGCATGTCACTAGCACTTGTTCCCTTCTTCCCAGACATTAACACTTGTTCTGTTCCTCCCCACCACTGGCGCTTGTTCCATTTCTCCCCGGAACTGACTGTTGTTCTGTTCCTGCCCGTCACTAGCACTTGTTCCCTTTTTCCCAGACACTTTCGCTTGTTCCAGTTCTCGCCGGCACTGACTGTTGTTCCGTTCTTGCACATCACTAGCACTTGTTTCCTTCTTCCCAGACACTGGCGCTTGTTCCATTTCTCCCCGGCACTGACTGTTGTTCCGTTCCTGTCCGTCACTGGCACTTGTTCCGTTTGTCCCGGGTACTGGCGAATATTCCGTTCCTCCTCGGTGCATCTTGCTTGGGGTGCAGATCGTAAACGACAAACCTTCCGCTGTGTGTTTTTGTCGCGGTGTTCGTCGCGAGCTCTCGGCGTTCGCGTACCGTGTGTTCCGCTCGCGTACTGTGCATTCCGTTCGATGGTGGAACGGGTCGGCAGAGCGCCGGGCTGTTCTTGTACCGTACGCGGTCGCCGCTGTTTCGGGCAAGCGGGTCGGTCCGTTGTACGCTTTTGAAACGGTGATCGCGAGTCAATTTTTCCGAATGATTCAAATTACTGGGGCTAAAGTTGTCATCATCCCCCCACCCTAATTTTGACCTGGATTGTATAAAGCGGCAAATCGTAGACTTTCTCGCGCGACTTCTCCTCTGTGGTCCACATTGATGGCGTCTGGGAAGGTGGCTGCAACACCGGCGAAAATTTGACGTTTCAGCGCTCTGCCGGTGATGATCTAGTAGACACGGGAGTGTGCGAGGGTGTGTGTGTGTGTGCAAGTTGGCACAGCAGGGGTCACAGCTGGTTCATCTGCCAGTCATCTCAATCGGTCAACCCATGGCACCTGGGTCTTGTCCCGTGACCCTCCTGCCAGCGGGCGTTCGACACTTCACGCGGCCTTAAAGTGCACGTAGCCTGGCACCAGCGCCGTGGCGACGTCACCGCCACTTAGTGGCGAATGGCGGTTGTTTTGTGGGTGGTGATGGCTTAAGTGGGTGAGCGCGACGAACCAGGCGACCCGAGTTGGATTCCCGCTCATGGCCAACACCACCCACAAAACAACCGCCATCTGAAACGGTACTGTGCCTCCCCTAGGTCGACTCGGCCTCAAAAGAGTACTTGGTGCGGTGTGTAGTAAACATGGATATATTTTCTGCTTGTTGCTGTATTCCACTCAGTGCCGGATGAAGCTAGTGCGGGGCCTGTAGCATGATGGTATAAAGGGGCCCTAAATAAATTTGCAAAGTAAAGTAATTGTATTTTTTCATTTTCCATACAGCCAGATAATACGACAAATCCGCTAACCTTAAACGCCCGGCCATTCATAAAAGTCGAAGGCGATATAGTACTGTAGTACTAGAGCAAGTGCAGAATCACGGGACCGGAATCGATAGCTTGAAAGCATTTAGCGCGGGGCCCTTGAACGTGCGGGGCCCGTAGCTACATTTGTAGCGACTTTTGCTGCTGGATAATGGATCCGGCACTGATTCTGCTGTGGCTGTATTCCGCTATTATTGATCCTCGGCTTCAAACAATAAATTCACTCGATGCGTTCCTCGATAAAAATGTTGGGGCCTTACGAACAAAATGGGCCATCTCGTCCGGCTGCGATGGAAGAGGGCCATTGTCCGAATCGTCGCCGGGAGTGATTTTTTTTTTTACATTTTTTAAAGTTCAAATATTCAGTGAGTCAGAATAGGTTTTTTCCCCTTTTTTCTGGCAACGAAACAGGTGTTAAGATGTTAAAACACCAAACTGAAACCTTTTACAAGGAATCGTGTCTGCAAAACTTGTGGTCAGAATGCACCGTTTTGAGACGAGGCTCAAAAGAAAGCTGTCTCTGGTGTGGACCAATCAGTTTCAAAGACGATGCAAATATTAATTATCAGAGCATGTCCATAAATGACGTCACGCACCTCGGGGGGGGGGTCAGACATTTGTGACGATGTGTGACGAGGGGGGGGGGGGTTGAGAAATGTGACGTCACATCAAAATGCGCAACTTTAAATAAATATAGACAACACGTTCTACTTAATTAAATAGACTTTTTAATAAATGTTTTTTCCTACAACATCAGAGTGCAGCGCCACATTAAATACGCACTACAATGACAACAGTTTAAAGCGATTTGAAGCATGTTTTTTTTTTGGGGGGGGGGGCAGAGCTTTGTGACGTCATATTTGAGGGGGGGGGTCTGACTTTTTGTGACGTCGCGTGACGAAGGGGGGGGGGGGAGTAAAAAACGTCAAAAATCGTCAAAAATCGCGTGACGTCATTTATGGACGGCCCCTTAGCACCTGTTTTGTTGCCAGAAAAAAGTGGAAAAACCCTATTCTCATTCAGCCCGTCAATGTAATCGCCGCAGTGTGCACGTGACCCACAATGCCCACAAAGCACGAGGCCGCTTGCATGCCCAGGAGCACACACGCACACACGCAATGTTGGCTCTGTGTGTGTGTGTAACTTTACCTATGTGTGTGTGTAACTTTACCTGTGTGTGTGTGTAACTTTACCTGTGTGTGTGTGTAACTTTACCTAGTGTGGGTGTAACTTACCTGTGTGTGTGTGTGTGTAACTTTACCTATGTGTTGTGTAACTTTACCTGTGTGTGTGTGTAACTTTACCTATGTGTGTGTGTGTAACGTAACTTTACCTGTGTGTGTGTAACTTTACCTGTGTGTGTGTGTAACTTTACCTATGTGTGTGTGTAACTTTACCTGTGTGTGTGTGTAACTTTACCTGTGTGTGTGTAACTTTACCTGTGTGTGTGTGTAACTTTACCTGTGTGTGTGTGTAACTTTACCTGTGTGTGTGTGTAACTTTACCTATGTGTGTGTGTAACTTTACCTGTGTGGTGTAACTTTACCTGTGTGTGTGTGTAACTTTACCTATGTGTGTGTGTAACTTTACCTGTGTGTGTGTGTAACTTTACCTATGTGTGGTGTGTAACTTTACCTGTGTGTGTGGTAACTTTACCTGTGTGTGTGTGTAACTTTACCTATGTGTGTGTGTAACTTTACCTGTGTGGTGTGTAACTTTACCTGTGTGTGTGTGTAACTTTACCTATGTGTGTGGTAACTTTACCTGTGTGTGTGTAACTTTACCTGTGTGTGTGTGTGTAACTTTACCTGTGTGTGTGTGTAACTTTACCTGTGTGTGTGTGTGTAACTTTACCTGTGTGTGTGTGTAACTTTACCTGTGTGTGTGTGTAACTTTACCTGTGTGTGTGTGTAACTTACCCCTGTGTGTGTGTGTGTGTAACTTTACCTGCGTGTGTGTGTGTAACTTTACCTGTGGTGTGTGTGTAACTTTACCTATGTGTGTGTGTAACTTACCTGTGTGTGTGTGTAACTTTACCTGTGTGTGTGTGTAACTTTACCTGTGTGTGTGTGTAACTTTACCTGTGTGTGTGTGTGTGTAACTTACCGGTGTGTGTGTGTGTAACTTTACCTGTGTGTGTGTAACTTTACCTGTGTGTGTGTGTAACTTTACCTGTGTGTGTGTGTAACTTTACCTGTGTGTGTGTGTAACTTTACCTGTGTGTGTGTGTAACTTACCCCTGTGTGTGTGTGTGTGTAACTTTACCTGCGTGTGTGTGTGTAACTTTACCTGTGTGTGTGTGTAACTTTACCTATGTGTGTGTGTAACTTTACCTGTGTGTGTGTAACTTTACCTGTGTGTGTGTGTAACTTTACCTATGTGTGTGTGTGTAACTTTACCTGTGTGTGTGTGTAACTTTACCTATGTGTGTGTGTAACTTTACCTGTGTGTGTGTGTAACTTTACCTGTGTGTGTGTGTAACTTTACCTATGTGTGTGTGTAACTTTACCTGTGTGTGTGTGTAACTTTACCTGTGTGTGTGTGTAACTTTACCTATGTGTGTGTGTAACTTTACCTGTGTGTGTGTGTAACTTTACCTGTGTGTGTGTGTGTAACTTTACCTGTGTGTGTGTGTAACTTTACCTGTGTGTGTGTGTGTAACTTTACCTGTGTGTGTGTGTAACTTTACCTGTGTGTGTGTGTAACTTTACCTGTGTGTGTGTGTAACTTACCCCTGTGTGTGTGTGTGTGTAACTTTACCTGCGTGTGTGTGTGTAACTTTACCTGTGTGTGTGTGTAACTTTACCTATGTGTGTGTGTAACTTTACCTGTGTGTGTGTGTAACTTTACCTGTGTGTGTGTGTAACTTTACCTGTGTGTGTGTGTAACTTTACCTGTGTGTGTGTGTGTGTGTAACTTTACCTGTGTGTGTGTGTGTAACTTTACCTGTGTGTGTGTGTAACTTTACCT